CATGCAATGCACATGCGATTCTCGAGGTTACTGGAAACAAAAAGTTGTGGGAAACTTCTTGCCTTTCTAAAAAGACAAACAATTGGAGCGCGAAAATTTGCTCTATGCCAGCTGCCCGAATGACACTCACGGTAACATAATTCGGCAAAAAAGTGATCTCTTCCAACGTCGGCGCCAACTCGCTTTTTTGGGGATCATTGTATGAAATTCCCGATTTTGACTAAAACACTTAAATTCCCTGACTTTTCCCTGAATTTTTTGGTCAATTTCCGAATTCCTTGACTTTTTCCGGTTTTCCAGGTAGCGTGGCAACCCTGATTAAAGAATTACATTAAAGAATAGTTGTTCTATTAATCCAAAAATAGTGCAAATATTTATTGTTGTAAACAAACCAAAAAAAAAAAGCAAGATATCTTTTATGAGTTTATCAATGGCTGAAAACAAGATAAGATTTCAAGTTTAATAGAAACTAAACTTTTCTTTGTCTTCTCTTGATTAGAAGTAAGAACAGTAACTTTTGCAGATTCTGGCATTCGTTTTTATGAACTCCTGTTAGGATTGCTTGGAAGCTGGCATCCCATGCCTACAACCAGTTACTTGGATAACACTGAATAGTGCACATGCATTGTACATGCTTGTTTATTGTTCTTATAATTTATGCAAAAACTTCTCCAATTAAATTTCATAAAACTACATCTATTCATAGATTCAGATGTGTTAATTAGTTGTGACTAATCTCACTTGTATGACCTATCAAAACAAGCTCATGAATTTTATCATGGCAAGGAGTACAAGACTTCATTTGTCATTGGCAAGTGCCTTGGCCACCATACAGGTAATGATTTTACCTAGTTCCACCCCAACTGTGAAAGAGAGCATCCTGGGAAATACAAGGGTCTCTCAGCCCTTTTCCCCTATCAACAAACCACATGAGAAGACTTTCTGCTCCCCATACATTTAGAGTGCCCCCCTGCTGCAAAGACACTTTACATTTACAACATTCGCACCTTCTCCAGGATTCGAACCCAGGCCCTTTGGTATGGCAGTCAGAGTCATTAATCACTATCGCCTTGGGCAACATTAATTAATTAATTAATAAAGTAAAGTTACCAAGTGTAATTTGGATTCACCCACAGAAGAGCAGACAGTCTCAGCAAATAAACAAGTCAAGGATAATCAAGGTAAAATCTATTACCTTGATTATCCTTTGCTAAAAAAGCTACTGAGTGAACACACTAGCATAAGTTTTTTTGCATGGCACCTGAACAGGGCCACAGGGATAGCAGTAAATATAAAGAACTGTGTTTTTAACTCACCTTTTTCAAGAAAGTAATTTGGCTTAATGAAAGAAAGAAGTCAGAAAAGTAATTTGGCTAAATGAAAATATCAAGTTCGCTTGAAAGATTTATCAAAACTTGGATTTCTTAATTTTGGAATGCAAATAGCCAGGGCATAGATGGAAAACTGAAAATTTGACAAACTGGGAGATTTTCGAGGAAAAACAAAGGGAAAGTGGTAGGTTTTCATGCTGTGCAGTAATATGATTTCAAAAGAATGGCATTTTGACTAAAATTCACTTTATAAAGCATGATTCAAGTCACTGAACTATTTATAATGAGGTTCTGATATAAAATATATTATTTAATTAGAAACACCAAATTTAATGTTTTTAGCTAATTTCATTTAACTCTGCAATTTTCTTAAACTTTTATACTAACAAAATCTTAAACGCTTTTAATAATCAAAGTAGTTTAAACATGATGAAAATGAAATTAGCAATTAATGTACACACAGTTATACAGTTAAACTTAGTAATATATAGGGTAAAGCAGAGAAAACTCCTCAATTTAGGAGTGGCGTAGCTATACTTCAGGAAGGATAACTTGCCATTTTAGAATAAACCATAACTTGGTCAGAACATTGCACTTTTGTTGTAGAGAAGTTTATTCACAATGGTGAGTTGCCAAAAGCAATGCAGCTTACCTTTCACACACACTTCATGTTCAGTTGACAGGACTCTGTTCCTGACCAAAATAATAATAATAATAACCATTGCCTACCCAAATTCAAAAGGTCTGAAAAAGGCAGGAAGATGCTGTCATTACACCTTAAATCACTCTCAAAGTCCTGGACAAGTCTCGAAAAAGGCTCAGTACATAAATACTGGAGGCTCAAACTTGAGTGATAATTTATTTAAAACAATAAACATGTTGATGCAAAATGGCATTATATGTACTTTCCAAGAATAAAATGTTCATATCTTATTTGGTTAGGATTTTATTAGCTTCCAAAATTGGGAATTCCTTTTGCTACATCTTCCACCATTTATTAATGTACAGCAAAATTAAATTCAAATATTATCTAATTCAACACTTATTCAGTCTTTATAAAAATTTCTACAAACATCTGCAGCAGATTAAAAGAATTCAGATGAAATAAAAATTAATTAGAAAAATTATGCTGGACATCAAAAGGTGTGGAAGATGGAATTTACACAATGTAAATTTTAATGAAACATGGCAATGTTGCTGCTTTAGCTTTCTGTAAAGATATGTCCCCATAACGTCCTTCATACCATTTTCTTTTTCCCCAATGCTTAATGATACATTTTTTTAGGACTGCATTTGAAAGATATGATCTAAATTCTGTCTTTACCTTCCTCATTTAACTTAATAGTTATTCACATTCACCATTACTGGTGTGTGTGATTATGGCAAAGCCTCGAGGGCTATCTGCCTAAAGGGAGGGATGCCTTCGTGGAGGACTTTCTAAGGGAAACTGGCTCGTATACACGTTACACATGGGGAAAACCACGAAAACACCCATGCAGCCAGCCCGTTCACGGGATTCGAACCTCGAACCGAACTACCAGTGTTCAGTGACTTTACCGCTCGGCCGCTGGTGGGCCTTACCATTACTGGAACCATTACTGGAAAAAACAGTCAAAATTGAAAGCCAAGAACACTTTTTCTTTTTCTTACCGCAACCATTTCGGAATTTTGAGATCAAAAGCCACTGCTTAATAACACATTTTCTCTTGCAATATTTCACAAGAAGGTTCTGTAATATGGAACACACGAAATTCTGCTGGGAACTTAACGACACTAGCAGTAGTTTCATTTTCACCTCTATATGACGTGACTGGAAACTTTTCATTGAAAAACTGGATATTTGAAAATGAGGCTTTTGTAAAAGACAAAATATTAACTACTGTAACATGGTCAAGAACATTTTTAAAAGTAAACATATGAATTACATAGTTTCAAATTGAGAATAAATATCTTCTTAATGTCATATAGAAATTTTTTTCTCATTTCACAGAGTTTACAAACATGTTCTTTGGTTGTACAGCCAAATCAGATCAAAATCAATTTTCTTATTAAACTGGTTATTATAGAACACTTCAGTGGGAGACCTTTCCTTCGAGCATTTCTTTTAGTAATTCCAAAAGAAAAGAATTAGATTGTAAATCAATCGGTATCTGGTTTGCAAGAGCATATTTACTTTGTCTAGAACAGGAAAAAATGTTCAATAAAAATTAGCAGAATATCTTGTTCAGTTTAAAAGGCAAAAATTTGTTAATTCTTTCTTCTCAGCTACTGCAAGTTTTGAATGGATTTTATCTTAAGAGATTTTTGCTTACAATTTGACATTATGGGAGATAATTTAATGACCTGAACTTTATGATAATTATTTGTAGATTTAATAGCTTTAGGTGAAATATTTTTAACTGAATTCTCCTCCATCTTCATTTTCTTTGGGTTAACACGATGCCAGCGAGTCAACAGAAGATTTTTTTTCAAATCTACCTTTATTGGCAGTGAATTCACTCTTATTCTAGCAGCTAGACTAATGAGATGGCAGAACAACAAATCACAAAAAATTCAGGTTTTACTTGTTTAGGAGGGGGGGGAAGACTACAACTATTTTCTGTTCTATCCACAACAGAGGGATTAGCACAAACAAAAGCAATAGAATTTGTAATTGGTATGCCTTTTGATTTTTAAAATCATATAAAATCATATCATTCATTATTGTACTTAATCCTGTTGTACCACCTTTTACTATTGAAAGACTAAAGCCAAGTATATATCAAACAGTCCTCAAAGAAAGTAATTGCCAGAGGATCCATACGGTTATCTGTATCATTACCCCAATTAGTAAAAATTCTGAAGGGCTTGGATTGCAAAAATTTACTTATTATACATCTTCTGATTGTTTTGGTTTGGTTTAGTAGTTTATGGCAAAGAACACTAGGGCTATCTGCCTAAGAGGAGGGATGCCTTCCTAGAGGACTTGCTAAAGGGAACTGGCTCATATACATGTTACAAATAGGGAAAGACGCACAAATGTCCCTGCAGCCAGCCCATTCGCCTGGAATCGAACCCAGTTTGAAACTACCAGTGTTAACGATTTTGCCACTTGGCTGCTGGTGGGCTGTATACTTCTTCTGAACATATTTGTTTAATTACAGCATTTTTTTTAGTTTATTGTCACTTCACTGCTGGGAATATTTTCCTTAATACTACACAGTTGGCATAACTTAAAGGTAAACTGTTAAACACAATTATAAAATATAGTCAAAAGCAGGAAAATCAATGCAAAATTTGAATTTTGGCCAAATGTGTTAAAATATCCCATTAATATATGAGCAAAATATTTCTAAGCAGGATATAAAATATCCTACTAATATATCTAAGCTAATATAACTAAGCTAATATATCTAAGCAATAATGCTTTGAAACTATGTATGTCATGTAAGCATCTTAAGTAATTTTCATTTTTGAGATCTTTTAAATAAAACTAGTCATACTAATTTTTATTGCTTTCCTTTTTAATTTTTTCCACTAGGGTATTAAAAGCAATTTTAATTAAAATAACAGATGGATTTTATACATATTTTAAACATACATCTATTTACTTAGCATCAATTTAAGCAAGTGTAAACTATGTTCACTAAATATTACTTTTAACAGTGCAGAAAACAGTTTAAAACTTACATCAAATTTTGATCGCAATTTATTATGGAAATGAACAATAAGGTCTTCTGTTTTCCAACAGCTAGAAAAATCCCTAAAAATAAATTTTGAGGATATTATTACTTTAGTAAATCTGTGTTTATGAGCCACATATCACAATATAAAATTACATACCATAAAGAGCTCAGAACAGAATGAAAACTTGATGATTCCATGTAAGCAGAAGCAACAGACCCTGTTCGATAATGACTCTTTGTGTCCCCAAGATTCAAAAGTTTTACGGCTAAAGGTCTAAAAAACCTAAAAAAATATCAAATACATTCAAGTACTATAGAAATGACATAATAAAAATTAAATGGAAAATAACATTATCTATAAGTTTTTTACTATACAGTACAAAGTCCAAGCTCCGAACTCGTTGGGACTTCAGCGATTCTGGATTTGAGATTTTTCCGAATATTAGATCATCAGTTTGAAACTTGAAAGATGGCATGTAGAAATTATAAAATTAAAAATATGAAATAATGTTTTATAAAATAATGAAGTATTTATGATTTAAAGGGTAACAAAATTTACAAACAAAGCTTGAAATTTATTTGTTTACTTTATTAAAGATTTCTTTCAATGTAAGTTGTTTAAGTTTCTTCGATTTTTGTGCTAATACTTTATCTTTAATTCTATAGACAGATATAATTTCTTGTTCAATCACAAAGTTCCATTGTTCAAGTCCTAATCGCTGTGTACTAACATTTTAATCGAAATTTTTTTGTTTTCAATAACTTCTCTATCACTATTTTCACTATCAGTAGTGGTATTTTCTGGATCTAGAACTATACTACAGATTTTGCAGTCAATTAATTTATTGACAATTCGGGCATTGTCATTGCAATGTCATTGCAAAACTTCTGTTATATAATCTTCTTTTATTACCACTTCTCCCCATTTCTTTAAAAAATCCATTAATTGGAAAATTTAATCTTTGGTTTCCAATATCCAAAAACCTTCATATTCATGGCTATCATCTTCATCATCCTCACCATGAAATATGCTAGGTGGCCATAAATTATGCCAAGCAGTTTTTAAAGTATGTGGAGATGCATCCTCCCACGATCTTGCGATGCTCCACTAAGCAAATTTTATTCAAAAATATTTTTTACGTTCTTGAATAGTCTTGCCATTATTCAAGAAATATAACAAGGATTTAAAAAATTCTACTTTATATTTGCATTTTCAGCATGCGCACTATTCCAATATCTATAGGCTAAATGATGGATGTACAATTTGGAGAAAAAAATAATACAGATACATCATCTTTCACTAAAATTTTAAGTGAAGGATGAGCCAAACAGTTGTCTACAATCAGGACAAATTTTGCATTATCAGGTAAATCACCCAAGGCCTATGTATCACTATGTACAATATCACATATGCCTTGGTAAAACAAGCAAATTCTGTCGAGCCTCAGGTATGAAATGATTTTCAAACCAACCATTAACACTTGTGTCATCCATGTACTTTTATTTGCATGATATATAAGGGAAAACTCTCTACTCTATAAAGTATTTCTTCTGCCTTCCTAGTGTGCCTTCGTGGTGTAGTGGTTCTGCACGTTGGGCCAGTATTCCAGAGGTCCGTGGTTCGATTCCCGGCATAGGCGATTGCTCATTTTTCATCTTGCCTGCTTCCAAAAAATACCTAATGTCTCTACAGCGGCGGCCGAACTAAAAGAATGTAGGATGACAATTCTCCTCACCGAGGATTTGGCAATTGGGTCCCCTAAAAAAAAAAACCCCAGTCACCCTTTAAAAGAGGGAGTATATAAGGTATTTATCCCACCTTCCTAGTGTAGTGGTTCTGCACGCTAGGCCGGTATTCCAGAGATCCATGGTTCAATTCCTGGCAAAGGCAATCGCTCATTTTTCATCTTGCCTACTTCCAAAAAAATGTCTCTACAGTGGTGCCCAAACTAAAAGAGTGTTGGATAACGATTCTTCTCACCCAGGATTTGGTAATTGGGTCCCCTAAAAAAACCCCCAATCCCCCTTTAAAAGGGGGACTATATAAGGTATTTCTCCCACCTTAATAGCGTGCCTTCACGGTGTAGTGGTTCTGCATGATGGGCCGGCATTCCAGAGATCCGTGGTTCGATTCCTGACGAAGGCAATCGCTCATTTTTCATCTTGCCTGCTTCCAAAACATACCTAATGTCTCTACAACTCATTTAAATGCTCGAGGTTGTGTATTTTTTACGATTACGAAAAGTTTACACTTGTGTGTTCCTACAGCATTTGCGCATGCTAAAATTGTTAGTCTCACTTTGAAATCTTTGGCACAAGTTGGAGCCTTTCCTATAGAGGAACATATTGTCAGAAAAGACCAATTTCATGAGCATTGTAAATTTGTTCTGGATATAACTTTTAATGAGTTCAATGAATTCATCTACAAATGGTTCAGCAGCATTCGTATCAGCTGAAGCTTTTTCACCTGAAATACTTAATTGCTTTATACCATGGCGTTTTTTTAATTTGGCTACCCAACCTGTCGGATACATGCACTGCATTTTTAAGTTCATCTCTTAGTGAAATATTTTAGCTTGAGCCATTAGCATTTGACCCGTCAATGGCACGCCCTCGCTGCAATACTGTCAGACCCATTCAGTTATCACTTTGTTATGATCTTCACTTTTAGCACAACGAATAATTTTTCTGTTATTCATTGCGAGTTGGGTGTCGGAATCCAGAAAAAATTCAAAAAATTATTTTTTCTGTTTTCTTATGTCGTATACAGTTGACTTTCCTCTGCCATACTCCTCGCATAATTTTGAAATGGATATACCTTTAATCATTTTTTCCAGCAATTCCACATTTTGTTTAAGGGACATCAAAATATCATTTCACTCTGTAAATCCTGATGCAGCTCCAGAATGAAAAACTCTTTTCAACATAATCGAAAGTTGAAACTTTAATTTTCGTAAAATAGCTGTAATAAAAACTGCCTGCAAAAAATAATTAAGCTGGATTAAATCAGAAAGTTAAGGAATAGTGCAATCTGCTATATTAACTGAAATTCCTTGGAATCAGTAAAGTATAATTTTAGCCTAGCTTAATAGCATCCACTACACATTACTGGCTATGTAGCATGAGATTGGCAATCGAAAGACAAGTTGTTCTGCTAAATTTTGTCTTGCTTCTATTGTGCATTGAGACAATTAAGGCTAATTGCATTTAGTTATTTATTATACTTACGTCTATTTCTTGGACATGCTTAAGGCTTATCTGAGTCCCGAATAAATAAATTCCCACATATACGTAGGTTGTTTTTTTTTAACCTTTGACCGCACAGTATGATGGCCAGGTATGCGGTAGGTGGTTGGTGTGCATAGTAGGCAACTGCGCATCTCCCCCTCCACATGCAATGTCACTGGCGTATTCAACATGACATTTTCTTTTGAGTTGCAGTCACGTAAACATGACTGTCGCTATTGATTCTCCCACCAAGTGTGAATTGCGAGCTGTTATTCGTTTCTTGCAGACATAAGGGAACAGTGCAGCGGAAATCTATCGAAGAATGAGTCGAGTGTATGGAAACAGCTTTGTGAGTGATGGTGTTGTTCGTGAATGGTGTGGAAAGTTTAAAGATGGCCGAACTGATGCGCATGATGAAGGGGGTCAAGAACGCAAGTCTGTCGCTACAGACGACGTTGAACGAGTTGACCAAGCGGTCAAGCAAAATCGAAGGTTCACCATAAGTGAATTATCGATGAAATTTCCGGAAGTTTCAAGATCTTCCCTGTACTCTATCGTTACTGAACAGTTGCACTACAGAAAAGTTTGCGCTCGCTCGGTCCCACAGATGTTGACTGACGACCACAAAACTCGCCGAATGGTTGCAGCGTTTGAGTTTCTTGACCGTTACAATACTGACGGAGAAGGGTTTTTGAAATCCATTGTGACAGGTGATGAGACATGGGTTCAATATGACACGCCCTAAACGAAACGACAATCATAACTATGGATGCACACAAATTCTCCAAAGAGACCCACAAAATTCAAACGAACCTTTAACAACCGTTAGGTTATGGCAACTGTTTTTTGGGACCAAAAAAGTGTGTTGCTTGTGGAGTTTATGCAGCCTGGAACAACAATTAATGCAGATTCATATTGTGAAACTTTGTGACGCTTACGGAGAGCTATTCAAAACAAACGAAGAGGCATGTTGACTTCTGGAATTGTTCTGATCCACGACAATGCCCGTCCTCACAGCGCTCGTGTAACCCAACGGCTCCTTCAGCAATTTCAATGGGACATTTTTGAACATCCACCATATAGTCCCGACCTCGCGGCAAGTGACTTTCATCTGTTCCCTGAACTGAAGAAGTCGCTTGGTGGGAAGCGCTTCTAAGATGACGTGGAGCTGAAAAAACCGTCACAACTCACTTCCAATCATTGGCGGGGACATTTTATGAAGAGGGTAGTGCAAAGCTTGTTCACAGATATGACAAATGCCTAAATCGTCAAGGTGATTATGTAGAGAAATAACTTGTACTGTACATTACTTTTGGTAATAAAATCTTTTTTGTATATTCACCCATTTTTTCTTTCTAGTCCATTGGAGGTTGAAAAAAAAATAGCCCTCGTACTTAAGGATTTTTGAGGGTCGACGCTAAATATCTTACTGCTTGATACAGTCTCTGGAGAGTCCTAAATTCTGCTACCAAGCGCCTCCCTAAGTTCTAAATTTTTGCTGCTCCTAAATTATGGATCCCAGTGCTTTCCCTCTATTCTAAAAATATTTTCGTCCCTTAATTTTGTTGCTTGGTGCTTCTCTTAATTCCAAAAATCTGTCTTTTCTAAATTCTGCTACTCAGTTTAGAAATACAAGCTGCGGCGCCAGTACTTTGTTTATGTGAAAAACAAATCAGTTATTCTTAATTCAAATAGCACTAAATATAATCTCATCTCTTGACCTATGGGTATCATTAAGAAAATCTATTTTTAGCATATGGAAATAAATGTTTGTTAAATTTTTCCTCGCCAATACTTCTTAGCGCATTTAATTTAAGTATGTAATCATTGCCAAGCATATGTCAACATAAAAAGGTTACCATATTCCTTGCTATTAAATTACTAATATAAAAAAATTGTTTGGGCATCGCTGCATGAGACATTACTCAAGATGTTATGCGTTCATAAACCTGCCGTGATGAAGGCAAAATATAATAAATAATGATTTGCCAGGTTGTGGCATCAGGAATATAAAACAGTAGCAGGTGAAAAATGAATGATGTCTGTATGTAGAAT